AAATAATTTCAAGAGTGAAAACAATAATATCTAATTATTTCCAATCGAGAATAAATGGCTTTTTGTGCATTAAAACTTGAAATAAATGGATATTACTATTTCTTTTTAAAATTACAAAACGATTCGAATGAAAATGATAATATCTAATGATTTCCAATCAAGAATAAATGACCTCTCGTACCTTAAAGCAGTTATTTCTTATTCGGACCGAAACGTAAGGATATTACTATTCTCAATGTCGATTCGAATGTTATTGTTTTGAAAATCTATCAGAAAACACATGCAAAAATAAAACAAATAAAAAGCATACATCAAGCGAACACAATTAATTAATTAGTTTACCGATACTTAATGAGAATAAGGATGTTCAATTATTTAAATATCTCAAGATGAGGCCTTAGATTCGTTCTAACAGTCTCTTTTCGATGAATTTAATTAAAAAAACATTGTCTTTTTCTCAATTCCTGAATTTTAAAAAATGAAATTGATTCACTTTGTGTCACTAAATGGGATAGACTTTCATTTTAAAATTATCGAAAGTAACTTTATAATACGTTAAGACAATCACTTTACGACAATATTAAAATGCTCGAATATTACCCTTAGTCAATTTATTTTGATTCGAGTCGAGCTTATGAGGATATCATGCGAGATTAATTAGGATTAAAATGAACTAATATGCAAACAACATGCAAAAATTAAAATAAAAATAAAAGCGGGACTAAAACATAAATGATCAAACTATCGTGTCAAAATTAACATAAAGTAAAATATACAAGTGACTAAAATGAACATTAACAATATGAAGAGCTAAAATTGTAAATAAATAAAACACAGAACTAAATTAAAGTAAATTAAAATTGCATTAAAATAAATAAATAAATAAACATTTGAGGTTTGAAATATAAACATACAAAAACTATAAGGACTATTTACCAAAATATTCCATTTATTTTAGCCTAAAATACATATTCGAATAAAAAAGGGTAAAATAACAATACCAGTTCCAAAGTATTTAAAAAAATTAAATAGTCACTATAGGATTGAAATGCAAAACACGTAAAAAATAAAAGGACTAAACCGAAAATAAACTTAAAAATCTGAAACATGCATAAAAATGGGTAAATAACAAAAACAGTCCCTACAGGGATTGAGATGAAAAAACATACTAAAGTTAGGGGGCCTAAACTGATATTATACCAAATATTACATGTTATAAACATAAATAGGAAAATAGCAAAAATGATCCCTACACATGACCTTTTTTTAAAGCACGCGCAATACTTGGGGGTTAAAATACAATTACCCCCGAAATGTTGCCTATATATATACGAACCTTTGATTTTTTTTCATTTTTAACAGATTTTAAAGAAAAAAATGAGAGAGCCTCTGCTCTCTCTCAAAGTTCTCCGGCCGCCGCGTACGGTGGCTGGAATTTCCCAAACTTAACCAAAATGACCCACTCGCCCCGATCTACTACCCTAGATCCTTATTCTAGGCTAAAATGACCTAAAACGACCCTAAATAACCCCTAAAATCACTAGATCGTTCGGCTCCCTCTAACCTCAAGCGACAATGAATTGGCCTCGATTTGAACCCCTCCTAAGGTAAGAGATCTAACCCTTTTTCCCTCGTTTTTAATTACATGCAAGCTTTGGTTTCATTTTTATACATATATTTTTTTATTATTTTTAAAATCTACTTTAAATAAAAAATAAACCAAAAAAATACCTCAAAACTTTGATATTATTGCTTTTTCTGTTATGGAGAAATCTAAAAGGGGAAACCCTTGTTACATTGTGGGTTCGGGTACTTATAAGCCCGAAAATATTTTTATAGCTTGCTTTCTTTCCATTTTTTCTTTTTTTCGAATGAAATTATTACAACTGAAACAAGATGAGTATTGCGAGCTTGGCTGGTTTTCGATTGCTTCTTGTGATATGCGTTTCTAACACTGCAGGAGACTCGGCTCGTGGTTGGTGGCAGCGTTTGGTGGCCGATGGTTGATGCAGCAAAGAGAAGGCCTTGGATTGGTGAGCGGCAACGGTTGCTGAGGCTCGTTCTGGACTGTTGGATGGGTCCATATCATACAGTTGAGATGAGAGGCGACAGCTGGAAAGTAAAGAAACCCTAACGGGTTTGGGCCCTGAACCGATCTCGGGTTGGGTTGAACTAGGGGTTGCGCTTCAAATTGCTTTGTACTTGGGCCCAGAACTAGGCCAGGCTTGTTTGGTAGCTAGGTTGGTATTTTGGGGCATGTTTGTTGTAATTTGGATATGTTAAGAAAAATAAAACAATAATATTAATTAGTTATAATAATATATAAAATGGGACGAAAAATGAGTGTCGACAAGTTTCATATGTGTTCACATGCACAAATCGAACGACTTTAGTGGGTAAAGGACTAAGAATGTAGTTTAAACATTATATATATGTAAAAGTGTATTAATATTTATATTTAAATAGATCTTACTTTATATTCACTTTACATTAATAAAAAAAACAAGTTAACTGCCCACACAATTTTTGGTTTTTTAGCCCAATAGGTCACCCGCCATAATTATTTGGACCAATAGGGCACCTCAAAAATTAATTTGGGATCTACGACATTTTCTATAGTCCAGGGCGAACTCGTCACGTCGAGGTGACGAGTTCCATGGGATATAATTTTTATATTTTGGACCTAGTATTTTAATATTTCCTGCGAAACTCATCGTCTCGAGGTGACGAGTTCTATTAAAAATTATTTTTTGGATTATTCTATTAACCTAATGTTGGAAAAAATACACAGGAACTCATCACATCGAGGTGACGAGTTCTATTAGATTGTTTTTGCTCTCCCAAATATGGTAGATTATGTTGAAAAGAACACCTTCTTCGGTTTCGACAACTTGCCATTTGGGTGGACGATTGTGAAAAACTTGTTTGCCATATCTTCAGAGAGATATTGGTTTTTGCTTGTTCAAAACAATTGTAAAAATAACAAGTCTTGTAAAGATTCATCTGAAGTGAGTCAACTTAAAACAAATACGACCAATCATTAATTACCATTCAACAACTCTCCAGTGAAATGTCATCTCAATAGGTATTTATCGCACCAATAATGCATATGTCATTTATTGCTGAAATAATGCATTGTCCCAAATAGTGGTGCATTATCATCTTCTACAACTTTTCTGAGGTCATTCAATGCATAATTTAAACAACATTTTAGACAATGGGTGGAATAGTGGTGGCTCATCTTGTTCAATAACTTTTCAGTGATATATCAACTCAAATCAAAAAACTTTTTATGGTTCATTTATCACTTCATATCAGAAAAAACGTGTGTTTATCATAGGCCAAATAATGTCTCATTCCACCAATTTTTGAATGTTTATTTAATCATCTTCAACAACTATTAATATGTGTGAGTTTAAAGCCATTTTACTCTTCTATTGAAGCAAAAAAAAACATCTTCAATCTTTCGAGTTTTTTTTCAAACATGTTTATTCAATTGCCTTTTACGATTGCAAATCTATAACCATGTGTTTTCCAAAAAAACATTCAACTACAAGAGTTGAAGTTCAGTATAGAAACAAGAGTTTTACTCGGCAGCAGTAGAAAAGTATCTTCCTTATATTATAAATTTTCACTATCATGCACGAGGTTTCATCTAAGCGATGATGTAGACCTTGCTGGAATGATTGAGACATATTACTATCACTTTTTGTCTAATGTTGATTTGTTTGTAGAGTTTGATGATCTCAACCTTTCTCGTATCATTGAGGATGTTGTTTCCATCTTGAATATCCAACGAACTCAGAAAAATGATCAAGAAATAAACATAGATGATGGAGACCCAAAAGCATGGTTCCAATTCGTACGTGAATGGCAGCTACAAAAAGAATGTGGAATTGAAGAACCTAATCTTACCTCTAACAAGTCTACTGAATACGAAGATTAAAACTTATTAATCAATATTGTTATGTCAATAGTTTTATTTAATGTTTATAGTGTTCGTAAGGTTAGTCCTATTTACGACATTATGTTAATGTATTAAGTTTGTAGTTCTTTTCTTCCTAATGTTTATGTTAATGTATTAAGTTTGTAGTTCTTTTCTTCCTAATGTGCATTTCTGAAAGTCTAATCTAATGTATTAAGTTTGTACTCTTTTTGTTAAAAAAAAATCTAATAGAACTCGTAATCTCGACGTGACAAATTCATGTGTATTTTTTTCCAATCTTAAATTTGCATAATAATATGAAAGAGTAATATTTTTTAATAGAACTTTTCACATGGAGGTGACGAGTTTTGCATTAAATATTAAAATATTGGGCTTGGAATATAAAAATTATATCCCATAAAACGCGTCACCTCGACATGACGAATTTACCCCGAAATGTAGAAAATGCCTTAGATCTCAAATTAATTTTTGAGGTACCTATTAGGCCAAATAATTACGACGGGTACCTTATTGGGCAAAAAAAACCAAATTTTTATATAATAATTTGTAGTCCATAATAATAACAATCGATTATTTAAGGGCTTTTGTTTTGGTCTACATAAAGACAGAACCAAAACCCAACCTAAATTTGTCTTTATTCATTCTTATATTAATTATATTATTATTTGTTAATTGCTAATTTTTTTCATTTTTTTTGTTAAATAACAAATATTCTCACAGATATCTGTTAATACTCTAATTTAGTATTTAAAATTTAAAATTTAAAATTTCATTGACAATATATAATATATTTTTTTATATAAACATGCACAACATACATTGAAAATGAATAATTGATGTTATGGTGACACAAAAGAATCAATTGAAACAAAAAGATGAGTCTAAAATAAAAATATCGGATGTAAGGTGTTAAAATTCAAACTCAAAATTTATTAGATGTTATTTAAATATCATTCCAAAAAGGACAAAGTTAACTTCCGAAATGCAAACTTTAGCAAAAGAAATCGGAATTTCTTACGATTCAAATCCTAAACGAAGTGAGCACCTGTAAATATTTCCCTTTGAGGTTAGGCTCCATCAAGAAACTTATTATACATATACATTATTTAGCTAATACTTTACCACTAATCAGTAAAGCTTATAAAATTACGTAATATGTTACAATGTTTGCAAGACTTTATACTAGTAGGCCGAGTTTCTCGGTTGAGTCCAACGTTGCTTCCTTTATCTTCCGGTCACCACCTTGTTTACCGATAACGATTCCGACCAATTTGCATGGTTGAGATTCTTCCAGCATTTGAACCACCGTTCTCATGGTTGGTCTTTGAGCCGGTTGTCTATTAGTGCACAAAATGGCTATTCTCAACACCTTGATTACATCTTCTCTGAAAACTTCAGGGATTCTTGGGTCAACTATGCTTAAAACACTCTCTTTGGTGTTTATTTTGCTGCAAATCCAACTCACTATATCCTTGTTATCTCTGAACTCGGGTTCAATCGGTCTCTTCCCACTCACTAACTCCATTAATACCACTCCGAAGCTGTACACATCGCTCTTCTCGTTCACCTTGCACGTGAAACCATATTCTGCAGAAGTCACAGTTCACTACTAACAATCAGAATCTATATAAACAATCGCATAATGTATGTGTGTATGTATGTATTTGACGGGGTAAACATATATACCAGGAGCTATGTAGCCATGGGTACCAGCAATGACATGAGTCGAGTCTTTAGCAACGTTGGCCTGAACGATCTTGGCAAGTCCGAAATCAGCAATCCTAGGCTTAAAAAACTCATCCAACAATATGTTACTAGATTTGACGTCGCGATGGATCACCGGCCTTTCACATCCGTGATGAAGGTACTCGAGTCCCTTTGCTGCTCCAACCGCAATCTCGTATCTTGTGTCCCAATCAATCTCCATTTTGTTACTAGTATGCAATCGATCCCACAAGCTTCCATTATGCAAGTACTCGTACACCAACAAGCATGAGTCCTCACTAGTGATGCTGCAGTAGAGCTTCACCACGTTAACATGTCTTATTGAGCTCAACGTCCGCACTTCCGCATCGAATTCATTTTCTTTTCCGGCATGTTTGCTGAAGGACGTACTCCAGCTCTTTCCGCCACTATGAGAATCGGTTTTCCGTATGTGCTTCACGGCGAGTTCAACCCCATTCGGAAGCATTACTTTGTAGACGTGCCCCGATCCTCCTTTTCCAATCAGATTGCCTGGTTTGATGGAATCAAGGATTTCATCTTCACTGAAACTTAACACATGGAAAGACTTAACGTTCCAAGATTCATCCTTCAAAGAACGTCTGTGATCTTTTTCGACTCTCCTTACATATAAGAAGAATCCGAGGCAAGCAAGCAAGATCGTTGCACCGAGCACGACACAAAATATAATTGTTCGAGCATCTTTAGACAAGCCAGAATCTGATGGACATTGCTTGAAAGTTCTTATACTTGAACTGCAAAGGCCCGGATTTCCAGTAAAGCTACCATTATATGCTTCACTTGAGAAAGATTTTGGTATAGGACCGGTTAATTTATTATAAGATAGATCAACAAGGTTCAGCTTGAGCAACGACAAACTCTCTGGAATTTTCCCGGAAAGTTGATTTCCGGAAAAATTCAGAGTGTTCAACGTTGGCAAAGATCCTAAAGATGATGGGATTTCGCCAGAAAGAACATTATCAGCCATGTTTATGCAACTGATGGAAACACTAGAGCCTAGTGAATCTGGTATTGAACCGGACAACTTGTTGTTCTGCAAGTTAAGGTTGCTCAATATTTTAAGTTCCCCGATTCCATGTGGGATTTTCCCGGAAAATTGATTGTCGTTGAGCTCAATTCTAACCAAAGATTTAGCTTCCGAAATCTCTCCAGGCAATTCACCTGATAACCGATTGTATTCAGCCGATAATATCCCCATTTGTTTAGCGTTCGTGATATAAGATGTAATTGGACCTTCAAGTTGATTGTACGCAATATCAATTATATCCACTATCGGTAATCCCCATATTCCCGCCGGAACAATGCCGGAGAGCGAGTTGTTACTGATTCTGAACCGCTTCAAAGTGGTGCAACTCGCGTAAGTCGCCGGAATTTCGCCGGAGAAGTTGTTCTGAAGCATAAGAAGAGCTCTCATGGTACCTTTCTTGCACATGTCGGGCGGAATAGGTCCGGTCAAGAAATTCTCCGATACATCGATGTAGTTGAATTCAGCCCAAGAACCGAGTTTTTGAGGCAAAGGACCCGTCAATAAATTAGTGTATAGAGACAGGTTCACCAGTTTCTTGAACTCGCCCAACTCCGGCGGCACTCCGCCGGAAAACCTGTTCTCAAAGAGTTGCAGGCTTATCAGATTTTTCATAGACCCCACTACTGCAATATCTCCTTCAAGATTGTTCGCAGAGGCATCGAAAAATTCGAGCTTCGTAAGGTTTCGCAATCCGACGGGAAGTTTTCCGGTCAACTCATTGTTGTAAAGCTCAAGCTGCCATAGCTTGTGAAGCTTTCCGATCTCCATGGGAATTTCACCGGACAAATAATTGTATTGAAGCTCCAATTCTATAAGCTCAGTGAGGTCTCCAATGGCGGGTGGAATCTTCCCCTCGATGCTGCAATTCGCCAAGTAAAGCCAATTCAGTTTCTTTAACTTCAAAATCTGATCAGGGAATGGAGCTCGATCGAAAGGAGTGTCCCCGAGGCTTAGCACAGCAAGATCCGTCATGTTTTGAAGCGAATTCCATGGGAAGATCCCGGAAAATCCACTTCCGTTCAAGTAAAGAGACTGTAATTTGGCGAGGGATGATATATCTGGAAACAAACCGGTGAAGGGATTGTTTCCGAGATCCAAATACTGCAGGTTTAAACAATTACCCAATTCTTCAGTGATTTCTCCGTGTAATGAGTTGAATCCCAAGGAGAGCTTATCCAAGGATTGAAGCTTACATATCGAATCCAAAGGAAGAACGCCCACCAGGTTCTGGTTCGAAAGCTCGATTTCCTTAACAGACCCTTGGGCGTTGCAAGTGATTCCGTTAAAGCTACAAACAGAATTTGCAGACTCCCATGAGTCAAAAACATTGGTGCTTGATTCATTCAGAGCAGATTTGAGGTTCAGTAATATTTGGAGTTCATCGGATTTTACCCAACAAGGCAAGTAGAAACAGAACATCAGACAAAAACAGAGAAGGATTTGATGGTATGAACAGGCGTTTGACATGTCGGAGATTTGAAACCGTTAAACGAAAGGGAATAAATTTCTTCGAGGGGTTGAATTTGAAAGAAGAAGGAGTGTGGGATATTGTAAGAAAGGTGGCGAGTGAGTTATTGCTGGGGAGGACTTCTGTTATATACTAGAGGGAGTTATTTCCAGGGGAATTTTTGTTTTTAATTTTTACGTTACAACGGTCACTGTTTTGTAGTAAAATCTGAAAAACAATGGCAAGGAACAGTAATTTTTATAATAAAATATTTTTAAAAGAAAATTTTCTAGAATGGATGTTGTATCCGCCACTAACTTTATAATGTAAAATTTATAAATAGACATTAAATTATATTAAAATGATTTTTTTACATTAAACTTTCAAAAAGTCATATAATAGGATTAAATTTTAGATAAAATAAATACAATGTTATTATTTATCATTAAAGAGATGACGTGACATGTTAAATTAACTCATTTAATCCTTTAATTATAACTAAAATTTTAATTAAATTAATTTTTATTATGTTCATTGAATTGAAAAAATGGATATAATAAATTAAATATTATTTTTCAGTGTTTTATTATAAATATTGAATTTTTACTGTATAAACTACTTGATAAACTATTAAAAGTTATGGATTGTTTCAATTATTTTTATTTACGTTTGAATGTCTTCTTGATAATGTGATGCGATAATTTTCTTGTGTTAAACTTCTTAAAAAAATCAAATGCTTGAATTATATCGTTTAATAAAAAAATAATTACATTATTGAATAGTTTAATTTTTTGGATCTCAAAAGTTATAGATTTTAAATTTTACAAATACAATCATGATTAATAAATAATTAGTGATAAAATAATTTGACGAATGAAAATTTAAAAAATATATATAATTTTTAATTTTGAATCTAAATAGATTTCCTATATTTTTAAAAAAAATAAAAAAAAATAATTTTTTATGAGATTATTACTTAAAAATATTAAAAATATATCAAAAATGAAACTTGATGATACATGCATCGCAAGGCTCACATCAAAGGAATAAATAATAACTCTTCCAAATGATCCACTCATCCAAGGCTTGGAAAAGAAGTCCAGAACAGTAGCAGACTTGCAACGACTTTTTGAATGGGATTCTAATCTTATTTGGTCAACATATCTTCTGGAGATACAATTGTTTGTCTCTTAGCTTCCCAATGGTTCTTGAATCGCATAAATCCGATATCGGAAACTCAATATACGTTCATTTTAGTGAAGACATCGCATGCAAAAATTCTTATACGAGATTAATATTTGATTTTGTAAATATTACAAATTTTTAATATTTATATTGATTATTTGTAATATGATTTAATATAGGATGATGCATTATCTTTTAAGATTAGATTTATTATTTTATTAAAAAATAAGGTTGAGTTCAAACATTATTTTTTAGTTATTATTATTTTATGAGGAATTAGAGTTAAGGCATATTTAGTTTGTTATTATTTTATTCGTTAGTTATTTAGGACCTTTAGAACTCAACCCCTATATAAAGGAGGCTTCATTCAACTTTTTAAGATTGATATCTTTGATTAATAATACAACGAGAGTTCATTTTTGCAAGTGTTGATTGTCTTGTGCTTCGAAGCTTCTTCTCCTAGAGTTCTTTCAAGTTCTTGTGAGGCAGATTAATCTTCCCACTCCAATTTTCCTTTTCATCCTGACTAGGAGGGTTGGTTAGAGCCATATTATCGAGTTTGTCTTTTCATTGCAACTAGGAGGGTTCGATAGGACACTTATCCATCTATTTTCCATAAATCCATCCACACCATCATCATCTTTATCGTTCACCTTCATAAGGGAGATCTTTTGATTTATTGGTTATCTTACTTTATTTTCAATTTCTTTATGTTTTGTTTATCTTGTTCTAATCTTGTTTCTTACCTTATTTCTAGCACTTATGCCGTCACCTTCCCCTATTCATCCCCTTTTGTTATTCATCGAGTCTAGAGCTTTCTAGGCTTGATTCTTCAACAAGAGTAACGTTCATTAACTCACCATCGCTTCCCTATCAATTGGTATCAGATTTGGGTCGATTCTTGGAAAGAATCAAGTAATCTTGCTTATTCTTGCACAGAAAACCGCCATGATACCTCAACGGAGCTAGTTCGCAAAAGATTCATCATTTCAAGTTCTTTTTTGTTTAATTTTAATTTAGATTCAAATTCTTCTTGTTAGTTTGCTATTTTTTATCCAAACAAAATCACAAAAAAATCAAAACTTACAAAAGAATGAATTTAAGGCTTATTTTCTCCAGATATTATATTCATCCTAAGAGTAATCTCCAGTCCAAAATTTACCCCAATCGGAGTTCATTAGAGCCTTCAAATACATCGTTCAAGTTTCATTGGCAGATTCGGTCTAGAATCTTGTCGAATTTCTTGAAAATTATACAAGATGAATTTCATGGTTAAAATTTCCATATTGAAACTAAATATATTGAATATCATTCACACAAAAAATAAGAATTTTTGGAGATCAATAACTCCTTCGAACAAAGCGATCACAAAAATAAACTATTTGAGGACTCACCGTTCAGTAGAGTCTACTGGATACTACTGAAGGTATTTAGTTCTGAAATTTTACAGGTGGTTTCTACACACATCGAACGACATTCAAAAAATTTCCCAAAATTTTTTGACACTGCTAACCCCCTCAAAAACGTTTCTCAAGTTGACCCAACTTTTTTTAGGTTTCTAGTTTGGTTCTTTTTTTTTCTCTTTGACTCTTAATGCTTTTGGTTCTTTTGTTTTTCCTTTTTATTGTTATTTTACATTATCTAACACATTATATTCCTTGTGTTAGTAGGACTATAGAGTTTGCATACTACTTCCTTCTTTGCATTCTCTTTCTCTTTGAGTTTAACCCTTATTTGGCCTCTTAGAGCTTTTAGGTCTTTCTTATCGCCTTTGCTAGTAATCAAACTCCAATACGAACTGTGGAAGACTACATGGTAAAGTGAGTTTTAAAGATTACAAGATCAGCTTACTTGCCTCTTGCTGTGTTACTTTCTTGGAGTGACTTGTGAGTTTTCTTGCTTTGTTGAATTTTATTTCTTTTACTTTTATTTTACTTTAAATGTTTCGTTAAGTGTTGTGATTTTCAGGATGTATAAATCAGGACAATTTTTCAAACATAATTGTATGGTTATACATCGTTCTTTAAGCACTGAAGATACGAAAGAAGCTAATATTCAAAGAACAAACATATTGCATTCTCGATGTTTGATACAAGGTAAACCTTACTCCATAATCATTGAAAATGGAAGTTGTGCAAACATGGTGAGTAGCAACTTGGTAGAGGCACTCAACCTACCTTGTCAACAACAACCAAAACCATATTGTCCGTAATGGATTAATAAAGAGTCTGAGATGAAAGTCACCAAACAATGCCTAGTCAAACTAAAGATGGGCAAGTATTGTTACGAAATTTGGTGTGACAAAATTTGGTGTGACGTAATTCCAATGCAAACTTCTCACACCCTTCTGGGAAAATCATGGCAATACAACAATGATGTTACCTACTATAGTAAGGAAAACAAATACACTTTGAACCTAGACGGTAAGCCTTACACTCTCAGGCTAATGCCACCAAAAGAAATCTTGGAAGATCAAATGAGAATTTGTGAGGAGGTATGGAAAGAAAAAAAAGAAAAAGTTGAGAAAAATGCAAAAGCAAAAGAGGTCACTAGTTACAAAAGCCAAAAGAATAATGAACCATGGGAGGTGAGTGAACCTAATTTTGAGAAGAAAAGAGTGACGCAAAATCTATGTGTGAGCATAAAAGAATTGAGAGAGAACCTTCTTTAGAAACAGCCTTGCATCATTGTTTACTTTAGGGAATCAATTGTTTCAATTTCTAACATTAACAAAGATTTGCCTAGTTTGTTTTCATATCTTTTACAGGATTTTTGAGAAGTGTTAGGTGATCCACCTTATGGATTACCACCAAAAATAGGAAAACAAACCAATCTAATTCAAGGTTCCATCATACCTCATTAAACATATAATCTCGAACAAACCAAAGAGCTAGATTTGTTATAAAAAAAAGCTACATCCGGGAAAGCCTTAGTCATGATGCCATCTTAATGATGAAACATGATTTGAACAACTCCACAGGCTTTATAGTTAGTGCACAGGATATCCATGTAAATGATGAAAAAGTGAAAGCAACACGAGACTGGCCCATACCATCTTCCATCACCAAGAGTTGTCTAATGGTGCTAAGTGACCCTCCTAACGGGTTACCACCTGAAACCCTAATCATTATGCCATATCAATGAAGATTCATGATTTACGAGATTCCAAAAGTCAATATTTTATTACTCATTTTAATGATATTGTAACGTATTTCTTCTCTTTTTTACAATGTAAGACTCTTGAAGTTGTCATCCATACTAAACATAACTACTTTAGGTTTGTAAAAGGTCAAGGTAAGCAAAACATAGTAGATGATGCACTAGCACGAAGGTTCTACAGTCCAAAAATCTACTCTTGAGAATTCTTAATTCATGAACCACACTTAGGAGACTTAAGAGATTACTTTAACAAACCAGTTGACATGGTTTTTTCAACACTCATTCTCGCCACACACAAGTCAAACCATGGAGAGAATATATGAAGCAATCATAAAGAAAGCGAATAGTAGTCGGTGCCATGTTGAATTTAAACCTAAACATCATATTACAAGACTTGTATGTAAAAGAGGATTTCAAGACTACAAGAAATCAGTCTCTACAAAGAAGAAACATAGACTATAACTCATAAAGACACATCACATTCACTACTAGAAAAAACCCCTTTAATGACGCGCAATGTGCGTCATCTATGGGTGCGGATGACACATAAATGTCTGTCGTTGAAGCCAGCGACATGAATTTTTTATGACACGCAATTGTGTGTCATAAATCTATGATGCGCATTTATGACGCGCATTTATGACACACATTTATGACGTGCATTTATGACGTTCATTGAGCGTCATTGAAGCCCCCATCATATATAAAGATGACACACATTTGTGTGTCATAAATTTATGACTCGCATGTATGACTTACATTG